TTCAATTTGGGTCGATCCGCAGGTCATCCGACAAAAACTGGATAATAGGATCGACCGATCCATAGCTGGATCGGTCGATCTGGTGCTATGTTCTGCACTTGCTTCTTTTGCTCGCCAGACGGACATATCTTCACTAAACCTTTCATAACTTTTGATCGCACCGTTAGAATGACCTCAAATTTCTTCCAAATGATAGCTAACTCGATTCCCTAACATATAGCCAATTTTCAGCTCGATCCATCGGTGTAAAAGTTATCAACAAGTACCCAATTTTTAACTATTTTCTGCATCTTTGCTTCTATTCCTTGCTCCTTTGGTTTTTGGCCTCCAAAGTGCCTATAAATGACACAAGGACTATGCAAATGCAATGAAATGTAATCTAAAACTCTATTGGGAAAATTGTGTTTTGGAGACACGGTGGAGCAGAGTTTGGTGGAAAAGCAGGCGGAGGAGAAGAGAATGAGAGAACCACAGAGCTCTTCGAAGATATCGACGACTTTTAAACTAAAGTCGTTTTATTATTTTTTGTTTTATTTTTGATGTACTTGATTTTATTAATAGAATTAATCAAACCAAAAAGTATTTATAAAAACTAAATATGAAGGTTAAAACCGGATTATCATTAAAATAAGTACTAATGAGACAAAATTGAGTTGAAAAAATACTAATGGGATATTTCCTATTTGATTTCGACCCAATTAGCCAAATTTCTCAAAAAACTCGAAAGCATATTTTTTTCGTCTTAAAGCCGGATAGTATTGTTCTATTGTTTGTGACATTGTGAACTTCAAGTTTATTTAACAAACCTACATGATAAAGTTTTTATTATGCCTGGCAGTGGAAATGTTTTTTATTATTACATAATAAAGTTTTGGTACAAAACAATTGTTTAATCTGGTTTTACTATTAAGACCGATTTTCTAAGTTTTGGACAAAAATGAAGATTGTATTGGGGTTTTTTTTGGTCCATATTTAACCGATGCTTTCAAATTTTAATTGAATTTGTCACTCTCATTTTTTTTTTTGTTTTTTGGCATCTATCTCCGGGCAACCTACACAATATAATCACAAAAGTAGACGTACTTAACCCTAAAAACCTTAAATATCAAGAGTGTATAAAAAATGTTTGGCAAACAAAATAAAATGCACTTCTGCTAACTAAGATCACTTCCATTGAAAGTATCTCAATGGAGTTCTCACGTTATAAAACTATTAAAAATTAACAAAAAAAAGGAAAGAGAAATCTAAGAGATTCTAAAAAAAAAAATGGTTTAGAGACCCTATGACACATGTCTATCTATGATTGGTTCTATTTTG